GCACTCCTCACACAAGAACCCCCCCAGCGGGGGGCGGGTCTGGGGAATTCTGGGAGTTGAAGTCTATACAACTTAAAGTTGCTAAGGTTGAGAAAGACTGCCCTAGAGCAAGGGGGCATAAGGCCATAAGTGGCTCCTGAAAGCACTGAGTGAGCCCATCAGTGTTCTTCCAAAAGTTGTTACAACATGTAATTTTTTTAATGTGATAGAATAAAACATTAAATATATTGGAGGTTAATCCTATTATCTGCATTCATCATAGAATCACAGAGTTGGGAACGACTCTTTAGGCTATAAAATTCCACCCCTGCTCTGTACAGGAATCTAAATAAAAGTCACTCCCTGGCTTCCATTTGAACGTACCAAGGAAACGAGTCCCACCACCTCTCTAAGTCTGTGGCTCCACCATTGAATTGTTCTTACCATTGGGAAGTTGTTTAGTATTCATTTGGAATCCAGCTTCCTGTAGCTTAAACCATTATTTCATATCCCGCACTCTTGGATGGTAGAGAAGAAGTCTTAAAGTAAACCAAATGTTGTTTTTGTTCTGGCCCTGCTAATTCCTTCTGGTTTCCACTGATTTTTGTAGCATGGACCAAGGGCCCTTCCCACCCAAACAGAATTAGGCCCCAGTGGCCAAGAGGAATGGTGGGATTTCTCTTGCAGAGGATGCTTGAGCAATGGGTTTCTTGAATCGATCAGGAAATTGGACTAATACAGCCTTTTCTAGCCAGGTGACCTCCAGGTGCGTTAGGACTACAACTTCTCACGTTCTCCAGCCAGCTAAATAGTTTGTAAGGCTCTGCTAACGCTTGGTTTCTATGAAAGCTTAATAAGTAAATGCCTCCCTGTTTTCTTTCTTCAGAGACAATGGAGATCTCGCTGGGCCAGTGGCTCCTTATCCTCTTCCTGGTGGCTGTCCCACTTCTGTACGAATGGAGTGCCACCTTCAAGTATTTCTGTAAGATGGCCTTCTACAACGGCTACATCCTCTTCCTGGCTGTCTTGGTCATTCCTATCTGCGCGGTCCGTGGCCGCAATGTGGAGAATATGAAGTGAGTCCACCCCTCTTTGACTGCAGGAAAGCCTTCACCCAACTTAGGCCTACATCTGATCTCAGATGGATAGATAACAGGGTCACCCTCATTGTGTATGGATCTTCCTGATGTGTTGGATTACAGCTCCCATCTTCAGTTAACATAGCTGGTGTAAAATAGGAAATGTAGTTTAATGCAGCTCATCTGGTGGGAGAACTAGGGATGGCTGGCCATGCTGGCTGAGGAATTCTGGGAGCTGAAGTCCACCCATCTGAAAGTGGCCAAAGTTGAGAAACACTGCTGTGCGCTTGCAATCGACAGGGGAGAGTCAAAAATGGGCTTTGCATGCTTCACCACCATGCCCCTCTTGATCTCAGCTGCCTTCCCTGGATGGCTGCTGTCAAGGTCTGCAAATTGCTGATTTGGATGGGATCCTGCCAAAAACAAGCTGATGCTCCAAGAGAGGCAAGATAGGGAATCTAACTGGGGGGGAGGAGACTGTTACATGGCCTTGTGGGATTATAGCTGGGAATCTGTTCTAAGAGGGGAAGTCCAGTGTCACCTGGAAATGACAGCCTTTGGAAAAGGAGAGGCTTGAAGGGAGAGAGACTGTACTTCACCCAGTTTCAAGAAGACTATTCTATACATTGGAGCGTCTGATCTGGATTTTCACATTGTTGTGTCACGATTTGTTGAATAAACCACCGTTGGATGGGCTCACACCTCTGTAAGCCGTAAGCCCTGTTTTACAAACTCTATTGGCAGTTTATCACACTGCGGTAAGCCCCAAACCAACCAGCTGCATTATGTGATTGATTGATTGATTGATTGATTGATTGATTGATTGATTGATTGAAGACATTACTACCCCACTGCTATCAGAATGACTCTTGGTGGCTTACCTAGAATATAAGTAGAACACTTTTAAATGTCCATGGTCATACATAAAAGAAACAGAAACTAGCCAATACCAACAGTGAAAAGAACCATCAGCCAAAAGAAAAAAACACCTCTCAACAAAAATAAAGCAATAAAAAGGAAAAAGATCACATCTAAACTCAGGTGAAAGCCCTTTGAAATAATTCTGCCTTCTGGTCAGAGAACAAATGACAAAAACTTTTTTGAAAGACTGGAAACCTTATATGGACTTTTTATTGAAAGAAGAAAGAAATGAAATATTTATGAATTGAAAGATTAAGGTAGACCTTGATTAAATGAGGGGTTGAAGGGAATTGTATAGTACTTAAGAGGGAAGGTGGACAACAAGGTTGTAACCGTCTGTTGAAAAGAAGGTTGGAAGTCACTTATATATTTCTTAACTAGTTTCCCTTTTCTTTTTGTTTTCCTGCACTTTCCTGTTTTTCTTTCTTTCTTTCTCTTCCTTTTTTTCTTTTGATTTGTCTTTTAGTATATGGAAACATTCTTAATATAAAGAAAGAAAAGAAAGAAAAACAATCCTGTCTTCTTATACTTAACACAATGTGTGAACCCTGCCAGTGTGCTCTGCCCAGTACAGAAGCCCAGCATTAGAGACTTAAATGTCTTCCTCTGCATTAAAAGAGTTCAAGGAGCTCAGGGACTGAGCAGAAATTTGAACCCCCCTCTCTCATGCCCCAAGCCAACGTTTGTTTATTTAGTTAAATTTATTATAGCCACCCTCTTCAACAGACTCTGCCCTAGCTACAGGGGCTGACAAAATGAATGTGTGATGGTGTAGTGGTCTGTGGAATGGCCTTGGAGACAGGAGGAAGAGTCACAAACTAGGCAACAGTCAGATAAGAGGCAGCTGAGCCCACAGAAAGAATAGGGGCATGGCAAATGTCTCAGAAGGGACTCTCCCTAGTTTCTTGGGTTGTAAAGGCAAGGGGAGAGAGATGTACTTTCAGGCTTGCAAGATTCTGCTAATGTAACCTTACGGTAAAGTGAGAGCTAGTACTTCTGGGTGTGCTTCTCATCTAGGGTGCCTCACAAGACTAACATATGGCGATTCAAGCGGTGGCTTGTTTTTTCTCTTGGGGGTGGGTGGGTTTCAAGGGCTTCCTTTTATCTTGCTTCGTAGAGCAGCTAACAGTGGCAGATCTTTCCTGCTTTCCTCCTTCGGCTCCCTTTAGATATGGAACAGAAATGTTTGGGATGGTTGCACAAGCACAGGGTCATAGATCAAGATAATCATCAACATGGCCAGTGACCAAGTAGTGGCAGAATTCACCTCGATTTGCCAAAGTCTATGGCGTTAATGACATCCTGCGGAAGAGGCCATCTGCAAACTTCATGTGCCAAATCTGTGGGTCCAGTAGCTCCACTGGAAGCGTCTGAAGAGGTGTGCAACAGCTAGTAGTCAGGAGAGAGCAGCTGGCGGGGCCTGTGCTCCGAAAACAAAACAAATGGAATGAGTAGGGCTGAGAGATAATGTGATTGCCCCCAAAGCGCGCCATGAGTCCCTGTCAGCCCTTTGAGGTAGTCCAAGACAGGAAGCCCAAACCATGAGTACTAACACTACCTTTATTGTAAGGTTACAGTAGCAGAATCTTGCAAGTCTGAAAGCACTTCCCCCCTCCCCTGCCTTTACTGTCCAGAGAACTAGGGAGGGTCCCTTCCAAAATGCTTTCTCCACCCCCATCTCTCTTTGAACTCAGATGTCTCTTAACTGTAACTGGGGCTGGCCTACAGTTAGATTGCCAGTCGGACTGGCTTCTGTATATGGCATGTGGGGAGGACCTTTTGCCTTCCACCTCGGGCACCCAGAGAAATCTCCCCAAGCCAGCCTTTCCTGGCCTAATATCTTGGAGGAGGTAGTTGGGAACCTCTGGGAGTAGCAACCGTGTCTTGGGGGTGCACGATTTTCACCCCTTTCTTTTTTGAAAAGTGCTGAGGCTTGCTTTCAGCAGGATGTTCTAGCCCCATCCATACCAGCCCTCCAGATATGGTGAAGTTGCAGCTCTCCAAACGCTGGTGGGGAATTGCAGCCTCCGCGCATCTGGAGGGAGCCACGTTTCCAAAGGCGGATGTATCCACAGACATTCACTCCTAGTGTTGCAAGTTCAACTTTCTCATACGCTTTCTCTCTTCCTTAACCCTCCCAGGATAATACGATTCATGATGCTCCACGTGAAATATCTGTATGGGATCAAGATTGATGTGCGGGGGACTGAGAACTTCAACATCAAGGAGCCGTACGTGGTGGTGTCCAACCACCAGAGCTCCCTCGACTTGCTCGGTATGGCTGGAGGAAGGCGGGGAGGAGCTAAGAATTTGATCTGGGCCCTCTCAGCTCATTTGTTGTCAGGTGGTTCTTAAAACAGATGTCGCAGTGTGGTCCAGCAATGCCAGAATGTTAGAATTGGTTGTATGGCTTTTTTTCCCTACTGCCTGTTTCCCCTACAGCTCCTCTACTAAGCATTAGCTGATAAAAAGTCAGTTTGCCACCCCTTGTGAAAACTCTGGTATGAAGAAGGTATATTCTGTCTCCACTTGTGGTTCCTTCATCTGATGGCGTGCCATCCAGTGCAAGGTAGACGTCTCTGTCTATGACTTGTGCATCAGCATAACTAACCCTCACACTTTTCCGCACAGGGTTAATGGAGGTGCTGCCAGATCGGTGCGTGCCCATTGCCAAGAAGGAGCTGATGTACATGGGCACGGTGGGATTGGCGTGCTGGCTGGGAGGCATCATTTTTATCAACCGCAAGAAAACCGACGATGCCATCAGCGTCATGTCTGAGGCTGCCCAAACTATGTTGAACAAAGATGTGAGTGTTTTTGGAAGGGGATTGCAGGATTGTGATGAAATGGAGGTGGCTGGTGGGATGGAGTTGTGCCTGAGCAAGGGACTACACCATTTGCAAGTGAGGTTGAATGTGAGGAATCGTGATTGAGAGACTTCTCCCAAATTTCGAGATGCCTTGGGTCATGATGGTTGACTTGGATTTCCCGCCCCCCCATTGGGAGATGATGCAAATTAGCAGAGTGTTGTGTAGTGAACGTGTTGAAATGATACCAAGGAGGTCCAGATTCTAGTCCCCTCTTGGCCACAAACTGGGGAACTTTGGGCCAGTCCCTCCCTCTCAGCCCCAGAGCCAAAGTGGGATAGTGGTGAAGGTACTGGACTTGGACCAAGGAGACCCCTCTTCTAGTCCCCCCTCAGCCAAAGAAGTCCCTCTCTTTCTACCTACCCCATGGGGGAGGGGTGTTGTGTGGATTAAATGAAATGAGATTCCCATGTAACCTGGCTTGAGTTCCTGGAGGAAAGGTCAGATATAATCTAATTAATGCTTTTATAATGTACCCCTTCTGGGGACTATGCCATCTGGAATATGCAAGACAAGTGGAAGGAAATCATTTTAGGAAAGCTCTCCAGGCCTCAAGCACTTCCTTCACACAGGAGGCAACATCTTTGCCTTCTCCCTGATGTGTTGTCTTTCTGCAAGCAGAAGTAGAAAGTCACAGGGGGCGAGAAGGTCCCAGCACTGCTAACCCCCAGCGTACACGACTGAAATGATACAGAATGGTTCAGCCTCCACTGTGTGTACATTGTGTGAATAAACTGCTAAGGCATCTGGCCTCATAAATGGGACAGCAGAGTTTCTCCACAGTGTGTTTGGTCGTAGCTTCTGGTACACCATCAATAGGTACAGTGTTTCTGATTGTGAGAAGATATAAACTGGAGGCCCAGATTATATTATATTTTAACACTGCTGCAGGTAACCCACAGAGCCCGGTGACTGATGCTTTTCTAGGTCAGGTGAGCTGTAATTCTGCTGGTGCACAAAGGAAGCAAAGGCTTTGAGATCATTCCCTGCAGGATCTTTCAGTTTATGGAGCCCTTGGTGCTCTCTGAGCTTGGTGGTTTGCTTGTAGACGTTTCATTACCTGACTAGGTAATATCATCAGTGCTAGAGAGGGTGCGGTTTGCTCCCTGTTTATATACAATAGTTTAGGATTAGGGAGAGGGACACATGACACAGACTCATAGAGATAAACCACATTTACACACCATTCAAAAGAGA